TCTACTAAAAAATACAAAATTAGCAGGCATGGGCGTGCCGCCTGCAATCCCAGCTTATCAGGAGGCTGTGGTAGGAAGAACCCCGAGGCGGAGTGTGCAGTGACGAGATCGTGCCCACTGCACTCAGCTGCGGACAGAGTGAGAATGCCGTTTCAAAAAAAAAAAAAAAAATTAAGAGCCATATAGTTTTAAAAAAATATTCGTACACCATATGGCATGTTGCTAGAACATGTTCTAAGAAAGTTACACATGCCCTAATAAATGCATAGAAAAAGAGGTCCCCTGCCAAGAATATGTACGAAACTAGTAATGAATCATCCTTACATTTCTCCTGTATTTATACTTTTGATCCTTATAAGCATGAACTTTAATTCTGTAATTAGGATTAAATTAAGAAATGTTTCTAATACAGGAGTACTATTTATATAACAAATCCATCAAATTATGGGTGGAAAGTGGCATTCCATTAAATTAAACCGTAAATTTTTAATGATATTAGATAAAGACGATACTGGAAAACCAGGAATTATCTTACACCAAGTAATCTACTCCAAATTTGATTGTAATGAAAAATTTTTTTGAACATCAAATTTAAAGATAAATATCATAAAATGGACTCCTGTAAAATGTTCCAAAATGAAACATTCCTTCCTCTTGTAACCATTAGATTTCTCTAATTTACTGGTACTCCCAAATTGGTCTGACAGTATGCCTAGTAAGTCCTACTTCATCCTGTCATCCTTAAGCCTGAGGCCAACACTTAAAGCTAAAACCCATACCAGTACCAGAATCAACCTACAGGAATTATACTTATGTAAATAATAAAATAAAGCTTCTCTACTCAGTCATTATATCCCTACAGCAAAAATAAGGTTGAGTTCTGCTTTTATAGTCCACATGGGCCGTATTTAATCCTCCTGCACATGTTGTTGACTGTTCCTGTTGAAGAATCTGATTATCAGCAACTTCCTCCAGATCCCGCGGAATGAGACCTGCTGCTGTCCTTGGAGGCTTGTCCGCTGAAGAGGGCTGGTGGTGGGAGGTGTGCCAGCCAGCCAGGGGAGGGAGAACAGTGCGGCAACAGGAAGTGAGTCCGCTGCTGCCCTGGAGGTCCATGGAAGATTCGAAACGAGGCGTACCAAGGTGCTGTGGGCTCCGCCCTGTAACCCAGCAGCTTTGGGAGCCAAGGCCGACGATCACGAGGCAGGAGTTCGCGAGTGCAGTGGCACTATCTTGGCTCACTGCAGTCTCTGCCTCCCAGGTTCACACTATTCTCCTGCCTCAGCCTCCTGAGTAGCTGGGACTACAGGTGTGCACCACCACGCCTGGCTAATTTTTTTGTATTTTTAGTAGAGACTGAGTTTCTCCATCCTGGCCAGGTTGGTCGCGAACTCCTGACCTCGTGATCCGTCCGCCTTGGCCTCCCAAAGTGCTGGGATTACAGGCGTGAGCCACAGCACCTGGCCTACGGCCTCTTTCTGAATCTTCCATGGACCCTTCCAGGCAGCAGCGGACTCCTTCCTGTGCCGGCACTGTTCTCCCTCCCTGGCTGGCGGCCACACCTCCCACACCAGCCCCTCCTCCAGCGACAAGCCTCCAAGGACAGCAGCAGGTCTCATTCCCGCTGGATCTGGAGGAAGTGCTTGATAAATAGATTCTTCAACAGAACAGTCAACACATGTGCAGGAGATTAAATACGGCCCAGTGACTAATAAAAGCAGAACTCACCTTATTTTTGCTGTGATATATGACTGAGTAGAGAAGCTTTATTATTATTACATAAGTATAATTCTGTAGGTGATTCTGGTACTGGTATGTTTAGCTTTAAGGTGTTGCTCAGGCGTTAAGGATGACAGGATGAGTAGGACTTTACTAGCATACTGTCAGACCAAATTTGAGAAGTACCAGTAAACTTAGAGAAATCTAATGTTACAGAAGGAAGAATGTTTTCATTTTGGAACATTTTTTACAGGAGTCATTTTATGATATTTATCTTTAAAACTTGATGTTCCAAAAAATTTTTCTTTACAAATCAAATTTGGAGTAGATTACTTGGTGTAAGATAATCCTGTTTCCAAGTATCGTTTTCATCTAATATCATTAAAATACGGTTTAATTAATGAAAATTGCACTTTCACATAATTTTGATGATTTGTTATATAAAAATAGTACTCCTGTATTAGAAACATTTTCTTAATTTTAATCCTAAATTACAGAATTAGTTCATGCTTATAAGGATTTCAAAAGTATAGAAATACAGAGGGAAATGTAAGAGATGAGTTTCATTACTAGTTTCGTACATATTCTTGCAGACCTCTTTTCTATGCATTTATTAGCATGTGTAACTTTCATTAGAACATGTTTCTATGCACATGCATATGTGTACGATATTTTTAAAACTATATGGCCTCTTAATTTTTTTTTTTTTTTTTTTTTGAAACGGAGTCTCACTCTGTCCCAGGCTGGAGTGCAGTGGCACGATCTCGGCTCACTGCAACCTCCGCCTCCCGGGTTCTCCTACCACAGCCTCCTGAGTAGCTGGGATTGCAGGCGCACGCCACCATGCCTGGCTAATTTTTGTATTTTTAGTAGAAACGGGGTTTCACTGTGTTGATCTCTTGACCTTGTGATCCGCCCGCCTTAGCCTCCCAAAGTGCTGGGATTGCAGGCGTGAGCCACCGCGCCTGGCCAAGGATGTTTTATTTTAGCCCCAATGGCAGAGAAAATATTTTCTTTCTCTTTTTTTTCAATCCAGAGAGAGGGTCTCACTCTGTCACTCAGGCTGGAGAGCAGTAGTTCAATTATGGCTCACTGCAGCCTGGAACTTCTGGACTGAAGTGATCCTCCCGTCTCAGCTTCTGAGTAGCTGGGACTGGGACTACAGGTGTGCACCACCATTTTTTTAAGAGACAGAATCTCACTATGTTGCCTAGGCTTGTCTTGAACATCTGGCCTCAAGCAGTCCTCCTGCCTCAGCCTCCCACTGTATTGGAATTACAAGTGTGAGCCACCGCGCCCAGTCCACGTTTTTTTTTAAATAGGTTTTCTTTTTTTTTTTTTTTGAGACAGACTCTCCCTCTGTCATCCAGGCTGGAGTGCAGTGGCACGATCTCGACTTGCCACAACCTCCACCTCCCAGGTTCAAGCAATTCCCCTGCCTCAGCCTCCCAAGTAGCTGGGATTACAGGCGGGTACCGCCACACTCTGCTAATTTTTGTATTTTTAGTAGAGACGGGGTTTCCCCATGTTGGCCAGGTTGGTGTTGAACTCCTGGCTTTAAGTAATCCACCCGCCTCAGCCTCCTAAAATGTTGGGATTACAGGAATGAGCCACCATACCTGGCCCTAAATAGGTTTCTTTTCTCCTGTACAAACCCTTCTCCAGTATCCAGGCCCTCCCTGCAGAATTTTAAGGGGGATCCCCATCTGGGTGAAGGTGGGAGATGATACGGAGGGGAGCCAAGTAAGGAAGAGTGTCTCTTGGCTGGTTTGGGCCAAAAGAGAAAAGCAAAAGGAAAGAGTGAATTATATTTTAGTTTATATTTTGTTACTTTATTTTGTGGAGTCTTATTACGTTATCCAGACTGGGGTGCAGCACTAATCACAAGCATGATTGTAGCACATTGCAGACAAGCTCCTGGGCTCAAGGGATCCTCCCACCTCAGCCTCCCGAGAACCTGGGACTTGCAGGTTTGCGCCACCATGGCTGACCTGGGCAGGGTAGAGGCTCAGCCTAGATTTCCATGACATGATGATAATATACTAACAGATTAGAAGCATGTTTTTTTAAACAAGGTAAAGGTCAGTTTTGTATAATCTATGATGTTTCAGATTCCAGTGAATTTCCTCTGGACAGTGGGGTGCAGGGAAGACTCTGACGGCATTTTCCACACTCAAATTTTCTGCTCATCATGTTCTCAGAATGTAAAGAGCTGGGGTGCCATGCATTTCACTTTCCCTCCTTGGAGACCAGTTTTCAAAGCTTTAGAGCGGAGTGTTTTAAAGAAGCATCATGTAAACATAGGACATATGATGGGAATATGAAATTGCCTGCTTGACATTTTATTTACAGTTGTTGGGAGTTAATAAGTCATATGTGTGTATTTTCTTCCTAGGTTCATTTTCCAGACACTGAAAGAGCAGAATGGCTAAATAAGGTAAGATTAGAGTATACCAAATACCGTCTATCAGTGGAATTGGAGGATGAGATACCATCTTTCCATATTTGGGAATTTGCATGTTGGTAACATTTGAGCTCGTTTGGACTTTAGTGGGTTGGCTTCTGCTCCCCAAAGACCTCAGTCATAACAAATGCATTGTCGTTTTCTGTTCAGAATATATATATAGATATTATCTGAGAATCTGTTCTCTTTTTGCTTGTGAGAAAGTATAGGGCATGTGCATTATGGTAGTTATCTCTGGGCCATATGTGTCTTCTTTTCTGACAGCAGGGTACTCATATCATGTTTTTCAATTAATATAAGTTTTAAGAACTTACAAAGAAGAAATATTACAAGAAAACTGGAATAATCCCTTCCATTTAACAATTCCTTTTTTTTTATGTTTTTTTTTTTTTGTTTGAGATGGAGTTTCACTCTTGTTGCCCAGGCTGGAGTGCAATGGCACGATCTCAGCTCACCGCAACCTCCACCTCCCGGGTTCAAGTGATTCTCCTGCCTTGGCCTCCCGAGTAGCTGGGATTACAGGCATGCGCCACCACACCCGGCTAATTTTGTATTTTTAGTAGAGATGGAGTTTCTCCATATTGGTCAGGCTGGTCTCGAACTCCCGACCTCAGATGATCGCCTGCCTCAGCCTCCCAAATTGCTGGGATTACAGGCGTGAGCCCCTGCACACAGCCAGCAATCATTTTTTTAAAGGTTATGTTTTTAGAACAGTATACCTTGAATTAGATCTGTTTTATCTCTGTATTTCGTGCATCTTTAGGGCTACACAGTGAACTCAGATGTTGATAATGATCACTTTAAAGTGCTGGAAGTTCATTTGTCATTAAAAATATAGGTGCTTATTAATATTTATACAGTTGAAGAACTATAAATATTACTGTTGTTTTCAGCAACAAGTTGAAACCACAGGACTTTTAGAAATCTTTAAATGTGCTGACATACTTAAACAGAATATTTAACCAGAATAACTAGTTCCTGCAACGTATTAGGTAATCAGTAGTTGGTTTTTCTAATAACTTTTTAGAATTTAGATCATGTTGATTTTGCATAACAAGAAGATCCTCCCCCCTCTTTATTTTCAAAACCAGGTTTGGTCCATTGCGAGAGTTTCTCACGAGCACTCGTGTGTGTCATGCTTTATAGCATTTTGTTTACACTGAGTTCTTTTTCCTTTCCAGACTGTAAAACACATGTGGCCTTTCATTTGCCAATTTATAGAGAAGTTGTTTCGAGAAACTATAGAACCAGCTGTGCGGGGAGCAAACACCCACCTCAGCACCTTTAGTTTCACGAAGGTCGACGTGGGCCAGCAGGTCAGTGGTGTTCTCTTAAGTATCCTCACATGTGCACACAGTCAGACTGCTGTGAAAACATGAAAAGCACATTTTCTTTTTTTTTGTTTCCTCTTGAGACGGAGTCTCGCTCTGTCGCCCAGGCTGGAGTGCAGTGGCACTATCTTGGCTCACTGCAGTCTCTGCCTCCCAGGTTCACACTATTCTCCTGCCTCAGCCTCCTGAGTAGCTGGGACTACAGGCGCTCGCCACCACGCCCGGCTAATTTTTTGTATTTTTAGTAGAGACAGGGTTTCACCATGTTAGCAGGATGGTCTCGATCTCCTGACCTCGTGATCCACCCGCCTCGGCCTCCCAAAGTGCTAGGCCACCGCGCCCAGCCAAAAAACACATTTTCTTTCCTTTTTTTTTTTTTTCAGACAGGGGCCTCACTATGTTGCCCTGCTTGGCCTCAGACTCCTAGGCTCAAGTGATCTTCCTGCCTCAGGCTCCCAACTAGCTGGGTGTATGTTTTTTAAACAACTTCGATGAGCCCAGTGGCTCATGCTTGTGATCCCAGCACTTTGGGAGACCTGAGCTAGAGACCAGCCTGGGCAACGAAGTGGGACCCCGTCTCTGCAAAAAAGTTTCAAAGTTAGCTGGGTGTGGTGGTGCACGTGTGTGGTCCGGACTACAGGGGAGGCTGAGGCAGGAGGGTCACTTGAGCCCCAGGAGGTTGAGACTGTGGTGAGCCATGATCGCACTACTGCATTCCAGCCTGAGTGACAGAGTGAGACCCTATTTCAAAAACCAGACAGCTTCAAATTATGTTCTGAGGAAAATTGTTCACCAAGAAGGTCTACCGGGTGTACCTGCATTTCCCACTCAGGCTCTGCCTCCAGCTGCGGGCCTTTTCCCATCTGTCAGGAGGCTGTCCTGCTGCCCTCTCACCTGCCGTGCCCCTTCCTGTCTGTCAGGAGGCTGTCCTGCTGTCCTCTCGCCCTAGGTGCCTTTTCCCGTCTGTCAGGAGGCCGTCCTGCTGCCCTCTTGCCCTCACTGCCCCTTCCCATCTCTGTCACTCAGGCTCTGCCTCCAGCCATGGTGCCTTTGCCCATCTCTGTCTGGAGGCCATCCTGCTGCCCTCTCACCTGCCGTGCCCCTTCCCGTCTCTGTCACTCAGGCTCTGCCTCCTGCCACGGTGCCTTTTGCCATCTCTGCCGGGAGGCCATCCTGCTTCCCTCTAACCCTCACTGCCCCTTCCCATCTGCCGGGAGGCCGTCCACCCTCACTGCCCCTTCCCATCTGCCGGGAGGCCGTCCTGTTGCCTTCTTGTCCGAGGTGCTCTCTTGGCCATGTCAGCCTCCGTCGCATGGCTTCTCTTTAACACTGACTTTTTTCCCCTCACGTGTCTTTCTGCTCCACATTCTTCTGTCAGCACGCCCTTTTCGCGCTAGTTTTAAGTAGTCTTTCCTGTGAGAGAGTTTGATATGTGAATTCATGCTAAATGTGCAGTAATTGACATGTTTAAGGTGTTTACCCCTCTCGGGATGTTAAAAAACAAAACTACTAATGACTCTAATGCTGGTAAGGTAGGTACACCATTCATTACGTAGGTGGAAGGAAAGATGGATTTTGTTAACGGAGTCACATTATGTAAAAAGGAAAGCTCTACTTCCTAATACCACTTCTTGTAAAAGCCTCAAGAGTACATTTAGTTGATCATGGGAAGTTTTTCTTTTTATTTTGTATTTTTAAATTAGTGTTTAAGTAGCAACAGTCCAAGGTAACATTTATATGCCTGAAGACTCAGAACGTGAGAGTTCTTATAAACACACACACAGTCCGTACACATTGGTGCACGCACAGCAGAGTAAGCACACAGACATCCCCGCACAGTGTGGTTCAGGGTTGTGATAGATGTGGCTGCAGGAGGGTCTGGCATGGCCACTGTGTATTTGCCACCTGTTAGCGGGCACCCGTGTCCGCCCCATGCTCTCCAGGGTGCTGGCCACCTTTCTCCGTCAGAGCTGACTTTCTGTGTGCAGAGAATGCTCTGTCTCAGAAGCAGTTACTCCAGACGCAGTGCCTCCTGTGCAGCCTTACATGTGACACCTGCCTGTATGTGCTGTTGCTTTTCTTGTGACATGCCTGAGGCGTGGCCATCCTGTGCAAGAGCCCATGTCGCTACACAGGACGCCTGCGGGACGAGCCCGTGTCTCTACACAGGACGCCTGCGGGACGAGCCCGTGTCTCTACGCAGGACGCCTGTAGTACATTTTCAGTGTTGACTTTACCTTCAACACCTAAAATGGTAACCACAGATGGGGAAAAACACAATTACAAGTTAAAGTGCCATGTGAGTGCAGGTTAAAATCTCAGTGACAGGTTAAATGCTGTAAAGCAGGGGCTGCATGCTCTGTCTGTACATGGCCAGGTCGTACATGTTTTAGCTCTGACTCCACCTTAAGTCTCTGTGGCACACTGTTCTGCTGTCTCTCCCTCCCTTCTTTCACAGCCCTTTAGCCAAGTGAAAACCATCCTAGCTCCAGGGCTGTAGAGTCAGGCCAAGGGCCACATTTAGCCTGTTATGCCCTAAGTTACAGCATGTTCATGTTTGTGGATATTTAAAATTCCAATCTCACCTGGGTTTATTTTAGGAATAATTTTATTATGTTTGAGTTCCATCACACACACTTTAAGTCTGATACCAGCTGAATAAGAAGGTCCTTGGAGAATAGCAAGAGTATTAAGAGGAGTGCTGATTCAATAAAGATAACTTTGGCATTTTCACCTACTGTACCAATGTCTTACAAGTGGCAAACCCAGGCTTTTTGATGAAGGGACAGATAGAATGGCATGCGGAGTCCTGTGCAGGGCCCTTGGGCAGACTGTGTGCTGACCAAGACCTCGGGCAGCTGGGCAGTGTTGCCTTCTGGTGTTTGTCCTTCCTTAGGTAATGCCCAGTCATCTGGAGTGGGGTTGGTCCCTTCATCTCAGTGTCATTTGGGGAGTATGTTATCTGAGGTACATCATGCCTGCCCCATTTTCACTTATTAGCATAATGTGGTGATTATATTTTTAGTGCAGTCTGTACATGGCTTAGCTAGTGCCATAAAGAAAAAGCCTGGGAACTTGGGAGCATAGGAGGTGTCTAGACTCTCAGGTAAAGGCTTAGAGTTTGGTTCGACAGCTAGGTGAGAGGTGTGATTTTAATACACTCAAACTTGTCAGAGTAAGCAGTAGTTCTCTAAGAGTAAGGTGCTTCTTTCATTTTTGAGACAGGGTCTCACTCTGTCACCCAGGCTGGAGTACAGTGGCGTGATCACCACACACTGCAACCTCAATCTCCCGGGCTCAAGGGATTCCCCCTACCACAACCTCCTGAGTAGCTGGGACTACAGGTGCGTGTCCCCACGCCTGGGTCTCCACTAAGGCTGGTCTCAAACACTTAGGCTCAAGTGATTGTTTCACCTCAGCCTGCTGAAGTGCTGGGATTACAGCTTTGAGCCATCGTGCCCAGAGTTTTGTTTGTTTTGTTTTTTTTAAGAGATGGGAGTTCACTCTGTTGCCTAGTCTGGAGTGCAGTGGCACAATCATAGCTCACTGTAGCCTCAAACTCCTGCTCTCAAGCAGTCACCCCATCTCAGCCTCCTAAGTAGCTAGAACCACAGGCGTGCATTCCCATCTTAGCTATTTTTTTTTACTTTTTGTAGAGATAGGGTTTCACCGTATTGCCCAGGCTTATTTCAGTCTCCTGGCTTCAAGCAGTCTTCTGCCTTGGTATCCCAAAGTGTTGGAATTACAGACCTGAGCTGTCACGCCTGGGCATGAAAGTCTTAAGAAATGAAAAATTATGAGACATAAAGAATAAATGAAAGGAAGTTATGTTTCAAACATGGTAGTACTAGGATGGAGTACTGGAAAAGGGTCAAGTTAGATGCGAAGAGACGAGAGTAAGGGGCTTGAAAAGAGCACATATGTATCGTTACATGTGCTGACAACAGCAGTCATGCCCAGTGCTTATTAACTGCCGTGGGCAAGGCATGCACTACTGTCTTGACATTTATTTTGTCGCCTAATTTCACAGTAATCTCATGAAACAGAGGCCATTGTTTTTCTGCAGATCACAGGTGAGGAAACTGAGGAACAGGGGTTAAATAGCCAAAAATCAAGCCGCACTCTGTTATGAAGGCAGAATTTTAATTCCTGTTGTAGTCTGAAATTTAAAGCTTGTTCTCTTTATCTCTATGCTGTGTTACAAGGTTTGATTTTTTTTTTTTTTTAACCTCTGTATTTTAAAATAAGCTACTTCTTATTTCAGCCCCTCAGGATCAATGGTGTTAAGGTATATACTGAAAATGTAGACAAAAGGCAAATTATTTTGGACCTTCAGATTAGGTAAGTTTTTATTTGTTGTATTTGTGTCATGGTTAATGGCGTGTAATGTCACTTAGCTGCACCTGTAAGGTGGAGGATACAGAGAGCACACGTCTTACCTGCTGTCGGTTGGAGTTCTTGTTAGACATCCAAATATTATTTACCTTCTGGGTCTCGGTTTCTAATAGCCTCGATAATTTTCATTCATAAAATGTGTTAAATAAAAAGAAGTTAAAGACACTACAAGAAAACTATGGACCAATATTCTTTATGAACGTTGATTAAAAAAAACACTTAACAAAATACTAGCAAACTGAATTCAGCAGCATATTAAAAAGATTTTACACCATGACCTAGTGGGATTTTTTCCCAGAATGCAAAGATGATTCAGCGTACAACAATTAGTTGATGTAATACACCACATTAAAAGGAAAAAACCAACTCATGTGATTATCTCAGTTGATGGAGAAAAAGCATTTAACAAAATTCAATACCCTTTCATGATAAAAACACTGAATGAACTAGGAATAGAAGGAAACTAACTCAACATAATAAGAACCATATAAGAAAACCCCACAGTTAACATTAGACTCAATGGGCTGGTTGTGGTGGCTCACGCCTGTAATCCCAGCAATTTGGGAGGCTGAGGCGGGCGAATCACAAGGTCAGGAGATCGAGACTATCCTGGCTAACACGATGAACCCCCGTCTCTACTAAAAATACAAAAAATAAGCCAGGCGTGGTGGTGGGCGCCTGTAGTCCCAGCTACTCTGGAGGCTGAGGCAGGAGAATGGCGTGAACCTGGGAGGCGGAGCTTGCAGTGAGCCGAGATCGCGCCACTGCACTCTAGCCTGGGCGACAGAGCGAGACTCCGTCTCAAAAAAAAAAAAAAGAGTTTTACTCAGTGGTCAAAAACTGAAAGCTTTTTCTTTAAAATCAGGACCAACTGCAAGGATGCCCTCTTTCACTACTTCTCTTCAACACAGTATTGGGAGTTCTAGTTGGAGCAGGTAGGCAAGAGAAAGAAATAAAGGGCACCCAGGCTGGAAAGGAAGAAAGACATTTTTTGTGTGTGTGTGTGTGTGTGTGTGTGTGTGTGTGTGTATTTGGTTTGTTGGTTTTGGTTTTGTTTTTGTTTTGAGACAGGTTCTTGCCTTGTCACTCAGGCTGGAGTGCAGTGGCGCAGTCTTGGCTCACTGCAGCTTCGACCTCCCAGAATCAAGCAGTCCTCCCACCTCAGCCTCCCATGTAGCTGGGACTGCAGGTTCATGCCACCATGTGTGGCTAATTTTTGTATTTTTTTGTAGAGATGAGGTTTCACCATCTTTCCCAGGCTAGTCTCTAACTCCTGAGCTCAAGCGATCCACTCACCTTGGCCTCCCAAAGCTCTGGGATCACAGGCATGAGTGACTGCACCCACTGGAAGGAATTAATCTTTCTGTTTACAGTTGAGATGATCTCATATGTAGAAAACCCTAAAGATCCCACCCAAAAAAAAAAAAAAAAGAGCTCTTGGAACTAAGAAATAAATTCAGCACAGTAGCAGGATACAAAGTGAACACACTAAAATCAATTGCATTTTTATACACTAGCAATGAACAATCCCAAAAGAAAATGAAGGAAGCAATTTCATTTATAATAGAATCAAAAAGAATAAAATACTTAGGAATAAACTAAGGAGGAGAAAGACTTGTACACTGAAAACTAAAATATTGCTGAAAGAAATCAAAGAAGGTACAAATAAATAGAAAAACATTCTATCTTAATTAATGGATTAGAAAACTTAATCTGTTAAGATGTTACTACTACCTAAAGCAATCCCAGATTTAATGCCATCCCTATAGTCATGAATCCAGTAAGCAGTCATCATCCAGGATATATAGAGAACTCCTGAAATTCAACAACAGAACAACCAAAGAGCCCTATTCAAAAATGTGGAAAGAACTTGAATAGACATTTCTCCAGGGAAGATACACAAATGGCTAGTAAGCATGTGAAAAGATACTGACCATCACTAACCATCAGGAAAGTGCAAATCTAGACCGTAATGAAATACCACCTAACACCTATTAGAAAGGCTACTATCAAAAGAAACCCAGAGAATAACAGGTGTTGGTGAGATGTGGAGAAATTGGAACCTTTGTGTGCTGTTGGTAGAAATGTGAAATGGTATAGCTGCTGTGGAAACAGTTCCTCAAAACCTTAAATGTAAAATTACCATGTGATCCAGAAATCCCACTTCTGCGTGCATACCTGAAAGAATTGAAAGCCAGGACTTGAGCAGATATTTGCACACCCACATTCTTAGCAGCATTTTTTACAATAGCTACAAGGTGGAAGCAGCCCAAGTCTGTGTGGGCCGATGAATGGATAAGCAGAATGTGGCCTATATGCCTGTATGCCTTAAAAACATGGGACTCCTGCTCCGGCTGCCACATGCTGGACTTTGAGGACTTTATGCTGAAGGAAACAAGCCAGACACAAAGGGACAGCGTCTGCGGAATTCCACTTGTGTGAGGTGCCCGGGGGAGTCAAACTCATAGACACAGAAGCAGAATGGTGGTTGCCAGGGCCTGGGGGCAGAAGGAATGGGGAGTCAGTGTTTAATGGGGGAAGGGTGTTCATTCTGCAAGTTGAAAAATGTTCTGGAGATGGCTGGTGGTGATGGTTGCATGTTATGGACGTGTTTAGTACCACCGAGTTGTACACTTAAAAATGATTATAAGGGTAGGTTTTTTGGGTATTAATTTATTATTTATTTTGAGACGGAGTCTCTGTCACCCAGGTTGGAGTGCAATGGTACGATCTTAGCTCACTGCAACCTCCGCCTCCTGGATTCAAGCAATTCTCCTGCCTCAGCCTCCTGAGTAGCTGGGATTATAGGCACATGCCACCATGCCTGACTAATTTTTATATTTTTAGCAGAGACAAGGTTTCCACCTTGTTGGCCAGGCTGGTCTAAAACTCCTGACCCCAAGTGATCCACCTGCCTCAGCCTCCGAAAGTGCTAGGATTACAGACATGAGCCACCATGCCCAGCCAAAATTTTTGTGTATTTTAATACAGTGTTTTACATTGGGAAAAAAAAAATTGAAGAGCTGCCAGCTACCATGCATAGCATAATAAAAATGGGCTTCCTTCCACCCACACCCCCCATAGGGTCTCGCTGTGTCCCCCGGGCTGTGGCTCAAAAGTGGGCTTCTCTTGTCTTTCATCCTCGTTCCTCCTTGAGCTTGCTCAGGGCTTCCTGCTCCACGTGGGGCCTCTCAACACACTGTGTGTGGTGCCCAGTGAGTACTGTGCACTCAGAACAACACGTGGTGTCTAGCAGCTCAGAGTTGTGTGCTTTTTTTGATCCTTTACTAAAGATCATTTTATTAAAGTGATCATTGAGTTTCCAAAGTATTTAAATATAATGAATGTTGGTACCAAGTTACCTTTATTTCAGAAAGAAGCATAGACTTTCTTTAATCTAATATGGAAATATCTGCCTCTTGAAAATATTTGGTGCTAGGGCAAACACCATTGTCATCAGTGGAGTAAAAGAGGACACCCACGTATGTCTCGGATCAGGCTGTGCCCCAGGAGGACGGTTCACCTCCAGGAGGGTGGCCCACTGGGCTGATACCAGGCTTCATGAGGGTTGGAGCCTTGTGCGCTTGTCCAGTGTCGCCAGCACCGAGCAAGTTTGAGTCTGTCAGTCAGTGGACGCCATTCTGAAGGTGCAGTCTGGTTTCATGGTTAGCTCCCATAACATGTGCCGAGTGTCCTGCTCAGATTTATGTCTCTGAACAAATACGCATTCTGCTTTGTTGTGAGTTCCAGACAAGCACTTTAATTAAATTGGCAGGCAGTAGAGATGGGGAAGGAATAATTGAAAAGTATTAGAAAATAAAATGATCAAGGCCGGGTGCAGTGGCTCATGCCTGTTAATTCCAGCAGTTTGGGAGGCGGAGGCGGGTGGACCCCTTGAGGTTGGGAGTTCGAGACCAGCCTGGCCAACATGGTGGAACCCCATCTCTACTAAAAGTACAAAAATGAGCTGGGCGTGGTGGCACACACCTGTAATCCCAGGTACTTGGGAGGCTGAGGCAGGAGAATGGCCTGAACCAGATAGCGGCTGTTGCGGTGAGTCACCATCGCGCCACTGCCCTCCAGCCTGGCCAGCAGAGCAAGACTCCATCTCAAAAAAAAAAAAAAGAAAAGAAAATGATCAAGTCATAGAATGAAGAAAAGGAAAGTTTTTTTATAGTTTTGTAACAGGTTATTGGTGATTTTACCAACTAGGTAGAGAGTAATTATCAATGAGAAGAAGCTGTAGGCCTTGGCGTTAACACCAGGACAATAAATACTGGAAGAAACTTATTCCAGATTCCTTTCGTTACTATTTTGCTTATCTGCTTAGACATTCCCTTTCTAGCATTTATCAAACTTCCCCACAGACGTTGTCAGGTCAGAGTGTGACAACCTGCCTCCAGGAGCCGAGGGTCGGGGCAGGTCCTACACTAACCCACACAAAAAGTGTTTGACATTTCATGTTTTTATTAAAAATAGATGCATATCTTGCCTTACAGCGTTATGTTTGTTTCATATTAATATCTGAAATGACTTACTTATTGAGCAAAATTGAGGCCCCAAACAGATGCACTGTTTCTAGTCTTTGGTGTCATAGAGGCCTAGGGCACTGAGAGATTTTTCATGATTGGGAAGCAAGATGTGAAATTTATTTGTGTGAAATAAAATTAAACTTTTTAATGTTTTAAACATCAGATTTATAAGGTAAAGAAAACTACATTGCATCAAAAGTCTGCTTCAGAAGTTGCAGTTTGTTATTTACATCTTCTTTTGAACATCGACATTTCTATTTAGTTAAGATTTTTATATGTAAGACCAACAACAACCACAACCATTGATTGATTGATTGATGGATTGATTGGGAGTATTCCTCCCAAGGTCAGAGCAGTATTGGACCTGATAACAGCCTGAAGACCTGGAGCGGTAAAATACTATAATCTGATGGGCCGTATTTTACTATTTTTACCTACAATCTATTTGCTTGCTTTACTATCATTTTATTCAGATTATACATCTTGCAGGTCTATAGTGATGAAGAGAGTAGTTCATTTCACTCGCATTATGTAATGCAGAATTTTTTCTTTGTTAGTTTTGTAGGAAATTGTGAGATTGATTTGGAGATCAAACGATATTTTTGTAGAGCTGGTGTGAAAAGTATCCAGGTAAGTTTTTTGTTTTTTGTTTTAATTTTACAGTTTTCTAAAGTTCTCTAAGCTGTATTCAGAAAGAAAATTAGGAAGTTTTTCTAGCTTGGAATTTTTTTGACGTTCAGTTTTTAACTGTAGGTCATAGTTGAGAGAAATAAGAAGTCAAGTGCTCAAAAGTTACTAAGATGCGCAAGCAAACTCCTTAAGTGGCCCAGGAGAATTGTTTTCTGTTACATATTTTGGTTTCCTGTTTGAGTTTAGATTCATGGTACCATGCGGGTGATTCTGGAACCGTTGATTGGAGATATGCCCTTAGTTGGAGCTTTGTCTATCTTCTTCCTTAGGAAACCAGTAAGTCAATATTTATTTCATTTTTATTTTCCCATTCGGTGGCAAAAATACATACCCGTGGAAGAATGTATAAAGTGGAGAAACAAAATTTTATCAACTCGCTGTTGTCCCTTTCTGTTGCATGAATCTTGTGGGAGTTTTTTGTATTTCTTTGTGCCTTAACTGAGAGCTTATCTCCTGATAAACAGCTCTCTTTCCTGATTATAAAAATGTTACAAAAATTTGAAAACATGGACTTCTTCAGAAGTGTAGGTCTTAGCTCACATTTTATTCACCACCTCACTGAATATGATTTATAGATATTTGCTCATTTAATCCTCATAACTCTCTAGCTAAATATTAACGTTGTTTTCTTTTACTGTTCAGAAACTCAGATTGTGAAAGTCTTATTTTTCCAAGCCACACAACTAATAAGAGCCTGGATACAGATCCAGTTTAGTCTGATACAGTGCTCATGTTCCTGAACGCTTTGTTGAGAAGACTAACCTGTAAACCTCCCTTTTCTCCCCTCCAGAGATAAGGGCTACCGTCACTTGCATGCACCTCCTTCCTCATTTGGGGTGTGTTTAGTGAACTGTACATACAGTTTCATATACAGGTTGAATATTATTGGAGACGTTTAGGACCAGATGTGTTTCAGGTTTTGTAGTATTTGCGTTAGATTCCAGTGAGTATTTGCTTTGAGCATGATGCTAGTACTCAGAAAGTTTCTGATATTGAAGCATTTTGGATTTTTAGATTAGTGATGTTGAATGTATACTGTGTTGTTGTTGTTGTTGTTGTTAAAGTTAATACTATTTTAATGCTATTTATTATTTGTTAATAAATACTATTTGTTATTTCCCACAAAACCAAGACAACAGAACTGTTACTCCTGCCAAACAGACTCCTTCCTCCTTCTCTGGGCTCCTGTAGCCTCTGGCCAGTGTCTCCCTTTGCTGCCCTCCGTGTTCATTGTGGTCTGGGTCATCTTCTCCAGGTGCACACTGCCCATATGGTTGTCTGTATCAACCCACACCTCACTACTACCTCCCTGTGCCTTTTCCTTTGCCACAGAAGGCTTTCTTCGCCCCTTTTGTTTCACTTACTTTCAGCAATTTCTGCAGTTATTGGTAGCTCTTTGAAAGCAAGGATCATAACTGTCTCCTTAGAGTTTGGTAAATGAATGATGCAAGATGTGCCATTGATGAGTCCTGCATGTAGGTACCTTCAACATCATATGTAATTTAAAGTAGGAATGTTAATTCATATAATTTGATTCAAATAACTTACTAAAAATTGTTATTTGGCTTTTAAAATATGGGTTTATCTACACCTGTCAAAAACTAGTTTACTACAGGTTGTACTTTTTCTGTATAAAAACAAAAGAATTAAGTGTCATCACTTTCTGTTATGAATAAAATAATCATTCTGATTTTCTTATTACTGAAATAAATGGGCTTATTTTGAATCGATTTTAAGTACACGAAACATGGAAACAACCAAAAACTCCTAGGTCATCTCTGTCAAATTTTACTGTTAAAATTAAATTTTACTATTCAGGAAGTTAAGAGATTCATAAGATTTAAAATTCATGTTTGTTTGTTTTTTTTCACATACCAGTTATTAAAGGTCCAGTATGTTTAAGAAACCAGCTTCATTAGTGACCAAAAAAACCTCAGTAATCTTAACAAACTGCTAAGTATTTTTAACTTACCCATCTTTAGCCAGGGACATTTTTAATAATTTAGAGAAAGACCTTTTTAAAAAGTGGCAGAATGTAACAAAATCCAAATCTTTAAATCTTCTTCAAAATTTAATAGTGCTCTTACTTAGTTTGGATCTTCCATAGATGACTTTACTTTTAAAATAACATATTAACTTCCAAATGAAATTTAGTGCTCAGAAAAGAAGGATGGGGCTGAAAAGTGCAGAATCACTCATTTCCTTATATGGTGAGTAAAGTCATCAAACGTGTGCTTCAGTGAAAAGGAAATTTTTCAGTTTCTTTTACTGGAAAATATGAGAACAGGGTTTTCTGCTGGCTGCCAAGAAATTCCTCCTTATCCTGGTGAAAGATATTTCCAGAAGGGTTTTTATTTTGTGGTTTTTTAAATTTCTTTTTACTGTTTGGATGATTTAGAAACCCTTACGAAACCTTTATACATTTTTCTACTTGTTGGCTTGCTTAGTTTTTATAATGTAGAACTTGTTGAAGGAAAAAAACCCTAAACATTGCTGAAGTGACGAAGTTGGAGTGTAGGTGAAGAAGGCAGCACAGTGCCATGGTTGAGTGACAGATGTGTGTTGGACAACCTGGTTTTCCACTCTTAGTTCTTCCTCTTACTGTAGCCTTCAAACAGCTTATTTCTCTAAGCCTCAGTTTTCGTATCTGTAACATGGGGATGACAGTAATACCTACTTCACACAATTAAATCTGAAAATTAAATGTCAATGAATGTAAGCTGCTTAGTACAATACCTAACACATAGTAACCTTCAGATTTTAAGAAATTAAATATTTCTCCTACATGTAGGTTTAGTCCTGACACTGGAGGCGATTTGTTTTTGTTGTTGTTTGAGACGGAGTTTCACTCTTGTCGCCGAGCCTGGAGTACAATGATGCAAGCTCGGCTCACTGCACCCTCCGCCTCCCAGGTTCAAGTGATTCTCCTGCCTCAGCCTCCTGAGTAGCTGAGATTACAAATGCCCACCACCACACCCGGCTAATTTTTTTGTATTTTTGGTAGAGACAGGGTTTCGCCATGTCGGCCAGGGTGGTCTTGAACTCATGACCTCAGGTGATCCACCCACCTTGGCCTTCCAGAGTGCAGGATTACAGGCGTGAGCCACCGCACCCGGCCACTAGAGGTGAATTATCAGTAAGGAGAAAAGCTTGGATAAGTGTTCTGATAAGAACTGGAACAACTGGGGTTTGCCATTGGTTGTGCACGGGGAGGCACTCTCACTGGGTAGTTGTTGGGCAGCATACAGTTTAGGGGTGTTTCAGAGCCCTCAGTCTTGTTTAGATTTATCGAGTAGAGGGGATCCAGGAGGTCTTTCCCAAAACTTCCCTTAGAAATGGTCCTAGGCTTACCCCAAACATGTTCATCCACCCACATTCGGGGGCTTCAAGCCCAATGCGGAGGTGCTGCCTGCTGGCATCTTTTGAACCATAGATTCCGTTTCTTCCTCTGTAAAATGGAAACAATGTCTTCTGTTATGAGAAGAAATTGAATCCTATTAGCCAAGGACTCCAGAAATTGATATGCTTTAAGCAAATGGGGATTAAAAAGGAGAGGTATTTATTTAAAAAATAAAAATAGCATATATTGGTGTCTCATGAAATGTGCATAGGGGACTGCAGTTGAGTCTCAGGAACAGAATGGAACCAGGAGTTTGAAAGCCTTCGTGACTGTCTCCACCTCTGCTCGCTCTCCTCTTCCTCTGAGACTAGCTTCGTCTGGTAATGCAGTCCACGTGTGGAATAGCATGCCTGCCAGCACTTAGAGAAAGCATTGAGTCTTCCTGCATCCTCGGCCTCTCCCTCCTCTTCCCTCCCCGTTCCAGCTGGGTCAAATACCCACCCCTGGACCAGCTGTGGGTGGGAGGGTTGCAGTGTTTGAACAGAGCTCCCTGAAGCCCATTCTTACAGCCTTGCAAGTGAGGCTGCAGTGAGTTCCAGAGTCAGGGCCACAGGCACATCCACAGACTCAGAGCACACATTCGTAACTGGGAGTTTTTGCAGTATTTATCCTGCTGTTTTCTCCGACTTTCTGAGATCTGACTTTCTGGGTTTGATGTTTGTATTATTTTGGACAGTCTTGCCCACCCCCAGTAGAGGGGGTACAGAGGAGCTTCCTGTTGTCCTGGTCCATCCTGGGTCTTGGGGCCAGAGCTCTCTCAGAGACCCCGCCCCTTCCTCCCTGTGCCTTGTGTCTTTGGCGGGTCTTTTGCAGGACAGAGTCTGCACCTGCCCCAGCAATACAGGGTCTCTACTGGCCTGGAACATTGTCCTACCACGTCCTTAAGGGACCTCTCCCCAGCTGCAGTGGGTCCTCAAGGTGCTTCTCTCCCCCATGGCTTCTGTCCCTTAAGATGGAAGGTGGGGTGGGGCTTGCTTTGTGCCCTTCTACGGTGGCAGCTGCCTCCTCCCGGGCTCCTCCCGATGGGCAGTGTCCTCCCTGAGGCTGTCTTCGCACACCGGGCATGCAGGTGCCACCACGTGATGTGCACACCTCTGTGGTTCTCTGGCTCACCCACACTTGGCCTGTGGCCTTTCATTAGGATCTGGCTGGAGTCATCTCACTTGTTTGGGGGGAACTCGTCCTCCTTCAAGTTCAGCTCACTCCTGCCTCTCCTCCTTTGGAGCTGCCTGGAGGGAGGGATTTCAGGGTGGCTGGTGGCTCAGGATGTCAGCTCTCCTGTGTGGTCAAGAACGAAGCTCTCAGAAGTCCTGGGACTTACAAACATAAGAAAAACATTTTTGAACTTTACTGACAGCCCAGATCCGCTAAATAAAAAACTGGAGAAAGGTGGGAGCCCTGAGTTTGTATTTCCAACAGACTTTCCAGGTGATTCTTGTTCTGAACTGTGGAGCTGGATGCAGCCAGGACGCCAGGCCTACAGCACGTGGTCAGGTGCCCAGCGGCTGCCCTGGAACTGTAAACATTACCACACCCATCACAACGGACTACAGAACATGGAGAGAAGAGGGGCACCTGTGCTGTTCATGAAATACGTGGATACATCTGTGTCGTTCCAGTTGAAACCTGACATTGCTTTCTGATCATTGACCACGGTACACGTTCTGTTTCTCATAGAAGAGTCACAACAGCTCAGAGGTGACTTCCTGTCCTTTGGAAATGCGTGTTCCACTGGCTTTTCAGTTTCCTGAAATAGCTCAATCCTCCAGAGGCGGAGGCTCTCAGCATCCTGAGGCACGTGTCAGTGGGGAAGGAGGGGCACGCTAATTTTAGTTGCTTTTCCAAAGGCGCCTTCTAAAGCCAGGCCTTTATCGGG